TGTTTTGGAAAAACTAGAAGTGTCCTCAATAAGTAGATCAAGCTTGAACTGAAAGGAGCTCATATTTGTCCTCAACTTATCATCTAGTCCCAAAATAACAGTGGAAGGCACTTTTGACATTTCATCCTATCCCATCTCTCTCTTTAAACTCCATAAGCTGTGATGAGAGTGGGAACGGGTGGAGTTTAGGATGGTATAGCTTTCTCCAACTCCCTCTAATTCGATAACCTCATCCCATGTGAAAGTAAGCCAAGAAACCCTCCCATGTTCTATTGATAACAATGACTCTCCTTTTAAACCCCACACTCCCACCCACTCACACGAAGGTGCTAGAATGAAAAGACAGTGTGGACTAAGACTATAAGTATTTGAAAATACCCATTAATGATACCCACTGTCCTTGACTCTGCTGAAAAATTACCACTATTACAAACCAATCACTATCAAAGACTTCCCCTCTTCCAGAGACTGGCTTAGAAAGGGGCATGTTATCCAGCTCTGGACAATAAGAAATGAAGGAAGATCAGCTGAGGCATGCTTCCAGTAACCAGATCCATGTAGAACAAGAAAAACTACATTTCCCGAAAATGTTCTTGGCCTCCCTGATTCCCTCTTGACACTTCACCAGAAGTAAGTGCAGGACAAGATGGTGTCTTCAACACAGAAATACGGTTCCTCTGTACAGAGTTGGAAAAAGACATAGATAACGAGGTCTGAGTTGAGTCCCGGACCACATGAGGGATAAGTACACAGTCATGGGACCACCCCCCTTCTGACATTCCACCGACAGAAACAGCAATTCTTTTCATCTTAGCAATGATACTGAGTTATTTGTAGACAAAGGAAACCCCCAAAATTATAAACATTCTGAACAAAATATTGTGCTAATCTGGAAGGTAGAACATGAATAAGAATCTCCATGCTAAAACAGTCCCCATCCAGAAACATTTGGAGTATATTCACATCATACACCAGTCATCTTCTTTATTGCATTCTGCTGTAGAACTGGTATGGAAGAGTGTTATAGGTACCAAAAAAAAAAAAATTGGAGCCTGAGGAAGACAAAGAACTGAGGAAGACAAAGAACTCTTAGTAGAGGGTTTTATTTGGTTTTATTTAAGTTTTGTAATTTTCTTTTTTATTTTATTTATTTCATTTTTAAAATATAATATTGTTATATCATTTCCTTTCTCTTTCCTCCCTTGAACTCTCCCATAAATCACTCTTTGTTCTCTTTCAAATTCATGGCCTGTTTTACTAACTGCCTAAACATGAGCTGAACAAAGACAACAATAGGCATGCCAAAATGGAGAGGGAAAAGCCCAAGAGCCCTCAACCCTACACAAAGAAGTAAAGGCAACCACAGACTTACTTGTGGAAGAGCACAACAATTGTTTGCTCACAGTTTCCAAACAACTGCAAGAGTTAGGGAAGCAGGAGAAATTCCATTAAAAAATGTAACCTTGCAGAGAGTTTTACAGAAGGAAGCTGAATAAGACTCCATAGTTTGGGCATTGTTAGATTTGCTGTTGTATACACCACATAGCAGTCGCATTCCCTTCTCAACAGCTCATCAACTGGACTTGTCAAACTTACCCGTGAGAGTGCAGAGAAAGAGGGGAGAACCCCTTCCTTTTGGATTCTTTGAAATTTGAGAATACAGAAGAAAAGCTACCCTGACTTTCCTATTAGTGAAGAAGGCTGTTACGTGACTTTTCTTGGGGGAAATGTGAACAAATATCTATTCATCCAAAACAGGGCAATAATGACAGACCAAAAGAATGGTGCTACCCATGCCCAGTGAATTTATTAACATTATTTATACAGCATGAATGGCTAAAAGCTTCCACCAAAATGTCCTGCCCCAGCCTGGAGTCCCTACACCATTTGCAAGGATTTTGGCTACTCAGAGGGAAGCCCTTCTCATCAACTATTGTCACTGCTTGTCCACCTTGCCAGTGGAGCCTTGTAACCCTACACGTTTTTGAAACCACATGACTTTTAAGCTGTGTTTGCCTTCTGTGACGATGATTTTTTTATTCAGAGGAAACAACTATACAACAAGCATAGATAACAGACTGCAGAAGGTAGGTTAGGCAGAGCTTTGCTGGTTCCAGTTTGAGCACGAAGCCAACATAGATGGATGAAGACTTCCCACCAGCATCTTTCCTCTTCTGAACCAAAACAAACATCACCTTTTGGATCTCAGCTAGCTCTTCATTCAGTTAGACATCAGGATCCAGTTCACAGAAACTCTTCTAAAAATAATGACTGCAATGAGTAATAAGAACTTTAGATTGAGTCAGTTCGATCTTTCTACGAAAGTCTCTGTTGCAACAATTTAACATTGTCTTTATAGTACCAAACTAGATGCAGACAGTACAACCATGGGTGTGTGCTAATAAAACTTTATTTACAAACGTAAATTGTGTTCCAGAGTTGGAGCACTGAGTTGAATGAACTGATGGGTTTATCAAGATTGTTTACAGGAGCAGAGGTGATTCAAACCCAGATCAATGGAAAGCCTGGTACAGCTTGTATGCAGTCTCCTCCATAGTCAATCTTTCACCTCCTCTATTCTAATATTTCTCAAGACTACACATAATAGACTTCTGTTTTCAAACTATACTGCAGCTAAACTGTGTATCCTTGAGAGGATTGCTTAATTCCCCAGGTCTCTATTCCTCTTCCAAAAATAACATTAAAAAAAAACCCATTGTGCAATACTATTATGGACAAGCAATAAAATGAATGTTTGGAGAATATTCAACACCATGCATCACAGGTGAGGAGTTGGGTTGTTGTTTTTCTGTGCCTTTCTTATAGCTTTCAATACCTTTATCAAATAAGATGAAAACCAAACCTCACCTAAAAGCCAGTAGCACAGGTGAGGAAAATGCTCAATGGAGATTAGTCAAGAAGGGTGATTCTGTGTCTTTCTGTGTCTCGCCTCTCTCTCTCTCTCTCTCTCTGTGTGTGTGTGTGTGTGTGTGTGTGTGTGTGTTTCTTTAGCTGTAGCTAAGTCTGCTTCTAATTCCTAAAGGACCTGGTCCATTTAAGTGGATTTGATTGGCATTAATTATTAAAAATGATTATTTATTAATAAATAAGAAGTCTATGAATGCCTTGCACTTATTCGGTGTTTTATAGTTTTCTTATCTTTTTACTTTATTCTTTTCAAAAGGCTTTTAAACTAGGCCACACAGTGTACCAGGAGGCATATGAATATATGGAGGGGGGAGCATCTTTCAATTTGGGGAGGGCAGCATTATTCCATAATAAAGTCAATTTGAATATATAATAGAGCAGGATACAGAATGCATGTGATTTTTTTTTATGATTAAGTTTGCAACTTCAAAGATATTTCAAGTCAGAGAGTCACCACTTTGGGCTTCGTCCCAGATGGTCATGACAGGAGGGTTGGTTGTGTCTTTTCCCACAGTCTCCTGCAAATTACTTAAGGAAAGACATTTTTAGGAATTCTGCAGATGACAAAATTTTATAGGAATATGTATGGGTTTGCACAAGGTTGACTCTATGTTGACAAAGTTGCCTTTAGACCTGGACTTTTAGCTTCCAGGTCTCCCACATGCACACAGGTGAGGAGACTCACCATGAGGCTGAGAAACAGGAAACCTGAGCTGCTAAGTACTGACAGAATGGAAGAGAATTAGCCAGGGTCCAGAAAAGCATAAAATCCTTTAACCTCAACCTTTTTCTTGACTCCAGAGAATGTCAGTCCCTGAGCCAACTGCATCTCCTCATAACCCAGTCACAACTCCTGTCAGCATTTCCTTCCCCAGCACCAGTCCATGGGACAACAAGAAGACACAGCAGTGCTTTGTACAATAAAAGCGAAAAAGGGATCTGAGCATACATTTTTATCAACAGTTTAGTGAGCACACACTGTCCATGGTTGGTTTGATCTGAACTAAGCCCCTCCCAGCCCAGATGCTCCTGGAGAAGTGCATGGCTGATAGTAGCAGACACAACCCAAACAAGGAGTTTTAAGGAGTATCTGGGCCCAGACACCAACAGAACAAAAGAACTGTGGAGGGGGTGGGTGAGGGGAGCCACAAGGACATCACAAGTCTTACAAATGTGACTGACCGCCTGACCTGAAGACAAGCCTGAGCCCAGAACACTGACTGCTTTTGTCCTCACCTCACTTTTCCCTATAAAATTTGCTTGCTGGAAATGAGACTGAAGACAGAACCACCAGGGTATTGGTCCATTGTCTTCCCATATTGTCAGCACTGAATAAGGCACATAGTAAAGATCTGAATCCTTCTCTACACATTGGCTTTTGTAAGTGCCAGGCAGCATGAGCATAAATAATTCCAGTTTCACACATATCTCACTTGGTGCCTCAGTTTCCCCACAGGATACCAGTCTCCCTCATTGGACTTAAACTGTACTATAATAACGTGCTTCCCTCCAGTATGATAAATCCAGGGAGCCCCACTCTGCCTTTGCTACCTAGGTCTTTGATTACAATGCACAATAGACCTGTTTGTGGCCATACTCCAGTGAAGTCTGCAACTAACCTTTTAATACTCTTGATTCTGATGTCATTAGTCTCTTTGTAAGACCACTGTGGTGACTAATATTGATTGTCAACCTGACAGAATCTAGAATTACCTAAGGGAACAAAGATTTGGGAAGTTTCTAGACAGGCAAAATTGAATTGGGAAGAAACACCCTAAATAGGCTGAGGTTCTATGTCTGAATAAAAAGAAAAAAAAAAAAAACTGAGCTGGACATCAGCATTTCTCTCCCTGTGCTTCTGTTTGTGGATGTACTTTGAGCATCTGCCCTGACTTCCCCACTGTGAGAAGTCTATCTCCTCAAACTGTAAGACAAAATAAACTACTCCTTTATGTGTTTATTGACAGTTCTTTGATTGTGCGAATATGAAATGTAGCAAATACAACCACCACCAGCAGTATTACTTACCCCCTATAACTCCAGATATCCCCAGATCCTTATTAGGTACCTACTAGAGAGCAGAGAGCAGACAGTTTGAAGCTTCAATCCTGGGTGCCAGCTGCATCTGCATGAACTTGCGGATTTCCTCAGCTATTTGTAGGCACCAGCTGTACACCTGCAAAACAGAAACAGGTGCCTTTAGAGGGAGAGCAAAGTACCTTGTGCAAGCTGCCATGAGGATGGGGCAGCAGCTAAGGGTTCACTACCTGCCTTACTTCACCCAAGCCCACTCACTCCTTTCCAGTTATACTCACCAGACATCCTAATGTATGACAAATTTGACTTCTTGAAAGAGCCAGAGTCGGTGGGAAACCCTATCAGTCTTGAGCTTTGGTGACCAGAGGCACAACTGCCTTTCATGTTTCTTCCAAATAAAACACTACATTGTGTACCTTTGGCCCTGATTTCTGGTTCCAAAGCTTTCTATGTCTTGCTCTTAACAGACTACCTATGGTATTCTATCCTAATCCTCCGAACACATCTATTTATAGCAGCCATCATTAGCTCTGCAGTCCAAGTCTGGGCTGCCTCACCTGTTCCTTCCCATGTCCTCCTGCTGAAGTTTACTTCAAGGGTTTTCTGGGAGTTCTTTGTAATATTAGTTAACATGTACAGGAAAGCCCCAAGGTCATGTTCCACTCTTGGCACCTTTCACTTTAGATTTGAGAAATCCCCTAAAACTCTCATTAGCGCGGGCTGCCTCACACCCATGAAACTTTAAAAATATCCAGCTAATCAGCCACTTTGCACACCTCCATACAGGCAGAAAGTGTGTCTGCTCTCGCCACCTCCACTCCTTTGCTTGACACCACATTTGTGCAGATGAGAGCTGTCAAAAATCTGACTTCCCACAGTATTTAAAATATAAGGAAGAGAATTTCTCGTCTGAAGCGAGCATTACCACTTAAAAAGGAACTGAAAACCAGGAGGGAGACACAGAAAATGGAGGGGGAGGGAAAGAGTGGAGAACACATCCTTGTTCTGATTTTACCGAGTCTGATCACTAAAATTTAAAGGGATATTAACAATAATAATAGGAACTAAATTGCCCCTTATTGAAATTGAGGCTTGCTATATATGACCTCTCTCTCTCTCTCTGTTCCTCTCAATAGCTACTCAATTATTTTTTTCCTCTGAGTCCCTAAACTCCACCCACAAAATACACACAAGTTTATATCTCAGAGAGTAGATCCCTCAAAAGGCCTAAGTGCTAAACTCAAACTATCAGTACAATTTCCTGGTTGAGGCAGCTTCTCTTACCAGTGTGTCTCCATCCCCTAAATCTGTCCATGCCAAAAGGTATGTCACCTCCTGAGTGGTAAATTTCCCAGATGGATTTTGCACCAACCTAATTATATGAAGCTACTATCAGGAGGGTTCTCTTGCCCATCATCTGTTAAGGTGAAGCAATCCCTATTGTACACTGACACATGTGAGCTTGTGAGCTACTCACCATCAATGTCAGAATTATCTGAAACTATTTGTCAGACACACAGAGTCCTGGATATTCACCGTTAGCATTTCAATGTGAAATATTGCTTAGAAGGCTCATATGTTTGGAGGCTTGATCACCAGCAGGAGGTGCTATTGAGAGGTGATTAGCTGATGAGGGCTCAAACTTAATCTGCTGATTACTTAAAAGCTGAGTGGGCTGTTAGAAGATGGGGTCTAGTTCAAGGACATGAGTTACTGGGGATAGGTATATCTTGCTCCCTGCCTCTTCCTCTCTCTCATTCTTAGATTACTAACTTCCATGAGGTAAGCAGCTTTCAACACTCCACTCTGCACCTCAATATTTCTACCTTTCTAGAGACCCAGATACCAGTGACCCTGGGCTGAGTCCTTCAATACAGTGAGCATTTTCTCCTTGAATCTGACTTGCTGTTTTATTTTGTCACAGTATTTCAAATGATAGCATGCTCCCTAACAAGTATGAGGTTAATAAAGGGCACCTTTTCTTGTGGGGCACCACCCTGAAATCTGGGATCCTCTGTACTAGATCTAAACTTTTTTCCAGCTTTCCACAAATATGGATGATCCCACCACAGGGACCCAGGGGCTCCTTCTCAAAGGGTTTACCAAACAGAGGCAGCATCAAGGCAAAGGAAGAACAAGTTGTCAGCCACTGAGCAGTGGAACAATCTGCTCCAAAAGTACTGGATTGTGAACACAAAGGTAAGTCCATCTGGTAAGGGGCAAATCTGTAACACTTACACATTATATGGAGGGCCAGTAATATTAGACAAATAGATTCAACATGTTCTAAACCTACCTACTAAGCATCAACACCCTAGAGCTGATTTGGATATAGAAGACACCATAAAAAGGTCACATGTCAAATCTCCATACTTCTTCATAGTATCATCCTGTTGTAACTTAGTTCTTTAACACATCCATTCTCTCTCTCTCTTTCACCAGGACACTCAGAGGGGGTATCATTCATAAATGTTTATGATAACTTACATTAGCACTTAACGCAATCCACTCTGCCATTTTGATTAAAAATAGGGAATGGACATTCAGATGACCATCACTTTTCAAACCTTAACAGAGTTTTCCATGAGGTATGAGCCCTTTGAAAACTGATTCCCCCCATCTTGGGAAATGAATGCATTCATTTAAAATTTTGTGTGTTTATGTGTTGATGTACATGCCTTTGTGAGTGTTTGTACATGTGTGTGAATCAGGTGTATGTGCATCTGTGTGCATGTAAAAAGACCAGAAATTGGCTCCAACTGTCTCCCTCAATGTCTCTTCACCTCATTTGTGAGACAGGGTCTCTCACTGAACTTGGAACTCAGATTCAGTTAGGCTGATTCCTTAGTGAATTACTCAAAACTGGGATTATAAACTATAACACCTGACTTTTTTACACAGGTTTTTGGGATCCATCTTAGGTTCCCATGTTTGCACAACAGGCACTTCGACAACTGGTCTATCTCCCCAGCCTCAAAAGATATTTTTAATGATATAAATCACATATCAATATGTATTTACTACACACACTCACATAAAATGTAAAGTCATGAATTTAGGAAGTTGGATCAGAGCAAGATATCTGATGTTGACAGCCAGACAAAGCTTAGATGTGGTTTCTGTCTAATATCAATTATTTCTTTCAGTGCCATGTCTTAAAGGAACCTCATTGAAATCAGAGTTTGACTGTTTTATTTTTTTCATTTCTTTTGGGGTCTGTCAGATCTGATGATGAATTATGATGAAGATGAGCACTGGTTAGTATCATGCTATATCCAACTTTTACAGCAACAGATCAGTTTGATAATTGCCCCATAGGGAAGAGGTTGACCAGACAGTGACTATTTGGCAGAATGGCCTAATGGAGCTCCTTCTGTATAAGAAATAGAATTAAGTTGACATGAATTGCAATGCAAATGTTTGATTTGCATTGGATGGAATAGAAAGGAACCTTTATGTGCACTTAATACCCATGTCCAAGTCGGGGTGGATGGCAGAGACATTTGGCATTTGCCCACTTGATGTTTGGGAAAATGGAGGCATTCCCATTTTGCAAACAGCCCACAGATACATTAAATAACCCATTTCATGATGGACATCTGGACTACTCAAACCTGCCAAAAGTGGATAGGCTGCCGGCTGCCTTCCAACTTTATGGCTGGGAACAGCTACCTTCAAATGTAAAAACCATCACTCTCCAGCATCCTGGCAGGTTGGAGGCTCATCTGTCCAAGCACGACACACATTCATTTTGATTTTAGGTATGTCTTAGCTACTGGCTGTATATTCAATACCCCACACACCTGAGCAGAAAGAGAATACTTCTTAATTAAAGAGGGTGTTCTGTAAGTTGGCTTGACACCTGATTCTTCCATGGTTGCCACTTGAAGAGTGAGTAAATTCATTAGTAAGACACATAGGTAGATGGTATTATTTGTAAAGAGTATTCAATTTAGTAGTTTGTGCCAAAAAAAAAAAATTAAAAGGGATAAAAAGTTTAGCTAAGCATAATGAAACCCACACAGTACAAAGAAAAGCAAATCTAATATGAATGTAATGTAGTTCAACCATCATTCCTTGCTTTCACTAAGGAGTCATTGGTCAGACACAGTCAAAAATCACCCCAAATGCTTGAGTCTGCACCTAATTTCTTGTTGACCACTTTTTGTATGTGCTGGCATAGTGTTTTACAATACAAGCTGGGAGAGTTTGTGTTCGCCATCTACTGGCCAGATAGACAGCTATTCACAATCTCATTTTGTTGCAGCCAAAACTGGAAGTCAATATGCAAACTTCATACAGGAATCATCATAAAACAAGCCTTCAATGTCAGTGTCCACTTCAAAAATTTGGTTAAAATGGTAATATTTAAACATATATACACATTAAATATCCTAGTATATCTATCAGAGATGATCAGCATTGCCTCCTGGGATTCATACAATACCAACAAAAGCAAAACATGTGCCAAGAAAGGAAAGAAAAATGTTGTTAAAAGAGGCCCTTGCTACAAAGAAAATGAACATGCATGCATGTATGCATGCAGACTTTTGCAGGTGGGAAGCAAATATTACAGAGGGAAAGATCTGCAACTTGATCTAACTTCTCAATTTTTCTACGATGAAAATATGCTTTTTAAACTTCTGTCCATCAATTTTTAACTACTGTGGTATGTATTATAGTAATCATGCCATTATGGTGTGGTACTTTGAAGGCTATTGGTCCCAATAAGTTCACAGGGAGTGGCACTACTAGAAGGTGTGGCTTTGTTACAGTAGGTGTGACCTTCTGGGAGAAAGTGTGTCACCCTGGCAGTGAGCTTTGAGGTCTCGTATCCTCAAGCCACACCCATTGTCTCAGTTCACCTTATGTTGCCTGCCAATCAAGTAGGACCCTCAGCTCCAGCACCATGTCTGCCTGCATACTGCAGTGCCCCAGTGTAATGATGATTGACTAAGTCTCTGAAACTGTAAACCTCCCTGTTAAATGTTTTCCTTTACAAAAGTTACCATGGTCATGGTATCTCTTTGTAGCAATCAAATCCATAACTAACGCATATGATAACAAAACTTCAGTAAATTATTTCCTTTATATTAAAGAAAAACATTGAACATTTAGTATGTATCTGGAACTGTGCAAGGCAATTTTATATGTTACTCGCTCAAATATGTATAACACAGTCTTAATGGGGCCTTTGATTTAGGTGCAACCAAATCTGCCTGTCTAAATGCTTTGTCAAGATCCAAATAGTAACAGACTTACTTTTTTAGTTGTTTTTTTTTTCTTGCACCCATGGACCAAGATGCTTATTATTAAAAGTAAGTTGCTGTAAAATGAAATTACATATCAAATATATAAGCTCAAATTATTCTAATTATTTTAATTATTTTGGTTCAACAAATACAAATTTGTTTATTGGAAAACTTTATGCATTTTTACATTCATTTTCTGAGCTCATTGCAAAACTTTGGCCTAATAACAATGTAAGTGCACAGATTATGTCAAATTAATCTACAGAAACCTTACCAAAACTTCCCACTATAGAAACTATCTCCTTTGCAAGCTGTCCAGCCATTATTATAATAGCCTGTATAGCATGTTCTATCACATTTGGTAGAACACAGGGGTATGAACACAGGGCTTCATGTATGTCAAGTAATGCACCCTACAAACTGAACTACAACCTGAACAGATCAAGTGTCTTCTTGTATCTCCATTTATTTTTCCAAGAGACTGAAACTTAAATCTGTGTTTCTGTCTTCAATGGCCACAGTTTTGCTTCTGAACACTTCAACATGACTCATTTCTCATTTCTACCATAGCCTCTCAGACCTGGGAAGGCAATTGCTTAGTGGTCAAGTTCTAATTTATACTATTCTGATCTCATATGTATGGGGTTCTGCAATAGTCCACTTAGAGTGGATTTAGGGCTAGTGTATCAAGAGATAATTGTGGAAGCCGCCACACCAGTGATTTGCTTCTCAGTCACTTCAGTTTTAATTTATTTGGAAGAGAAGAGAATGATTGTATAGGTCAGGATACAGACTATGTTGGTAGTTTTTGTGGTATACTAAGTCCTTGTCAAGTTCAATATTATTCCCACAGCAACTACTGTTTTATTGTCAGTAAAGTGTTCACTAAGTACTGAAGATGCTTACTCTTTTCTTGCACAAACCCAAGAGGGACTGGGGTATCGCTGTGATAGGTCTGATCATGTTTTTGTTTAGAATAATATGGACTTTGGGAGTTTGGGTTAGAAAAACAATGAAATGGTTTAAGTGCTGCTTAATGGGCCTTACTGGTAGAGTTATGGAAGACAATGGTGCTAAGAGTTATTTGAACTGTTGAGGCTCAGTTAAGAGGTTTCAGAGGATAAGAATATGAATATGTGGCCTAGAGATAGTTCTTGTGATATTTTGGTGAAGGATATGGCTGACTTTTATCCTTGTCCAAAGAGTCTGACTGAGGCTAAAGAATTATCAATTAATTCCATTGGCGAATGAAATCTCAAAACAGATTCATATAGACTCAGTTGTATTATTATTAGTGGTAACTCTAATGAAGATTTGTAATGAAAAAGAGCAATCTGAGCAGGGTAAATTACAAAATATAAAATTTGAAGAGAAAGGAACATCGGAAAGTTGAATGGTGCTAAATGCTGTGTTCAAGGAAATAAACAGGTTAAGAAATGGAATAAAGGGAGTGGTGACCTCAGGAAAAAAATTCACCCAGCTAAGTTTCCAACTTGTAAAAAAAAACTTAGAGCTGGGTATAATAGTACACACTTTAATCCTAACACTCCAAAGACAGAGGCTGGAAGATCTTTTGAGTTTGATGCCAGCATAGTCTACAAAGCAAGTTCCAGGACATCCAAGCTTAAGCAGTGAAGGAGATCATGAAAAACAGAAATTTTGTGAAGATATAATTGAACAAGGGGCTATGTTCCAGCCCCATCAAGCAGCAGAGCTTGGCAGCTTCAGCCACATTGTTATGGCTTTAAGGATAGAAAAGGGTCTTATGGAATATTCTTCTCAACTAAAGAATATTGCTGAGGTCAGGCATGTCTCAGGGGTGTCCCTGAATGGAGGCCTAGAGAGGCCGTTGTGTGAAGCTGAGGAGGTGAAGCCTAGATTACATTGGAAACTGCAAGATATTAGAGATGCCAGAGTCATGGGATACCTGCTGAGGAAAACTGCTAACACTAAGTAGAACCAACCCAAGAGAGATATGTGTTTTGGAGTCAACAAAGCTGAAAGAGCTGGAGATATGAAGAGTGTTTTGACATCAAACATGGAGATGCAGAGTCTTGAGTTTGTCCAGCTGGTTTTCAGTCTTGCTTTCGTCCAGTATTTCCTCATTGTGCTCCCTTCCCTATGTTTCAGAGCAATAATGTATATCCTGTGCCATTATATGTTGGATATATGTAATCTGCCTTTTAATTTTGGTTTTACAGGGGATTACAGTTAAGAGATTACATGAATCTCAGAAGAGACTTTGAAATTTGGACTTTTAAACAT